AGGCGAAACTATCTACTCCTATTGCAGAGAAGGAAAAAAAAGGAGAAAAAAAAATAAATAGTAAATAAAATTTCAGAGTTTGTGGGGGGCGTTATAAATATAGAGTTGAAGTAGACGGAACCGGAAACACAATCCTAAACAGGAATCAAGGGATAAACCTCTACTCCTGTTCAAAAGATCAAGAAGGAATGCGAACCGGACGATTTTAGATTGTAAGAGGTTTGTTTACAGAAGATTATGAGGATAAGGATTGTAGATAACGATTGACCCTCGACGAAGCGGTTAAGATTATAGTTCTCACGGAAGCATACACACGGGAGGTGATTCGGCTCCGTGGGATGAGGACAGAATAGTCTGTACTTTTTAACCTTTACTCTACAATGTGACGTCCAAGTATTTATTAGGTTTGTCTTACTCCGGCACAAGGCCCAAAAATGTAGTTCATGCGGAGAAAATCAAACTCACATTAGTAATGGTTTTAGGGACTACTGTGCAAGCCATTGTTCTACAGCGAGGCTCCTTACCTTTAATCTTAAATACGGAGAAAAAAAATAGGTGATCCTAACAAACACAACCCTGGTTAAAATCTTAAGACCAGATTAAAAGGGGTTTTAAAAAAATATATAAAATACTGTTACTTTAATCAAAATATATTTGCGAAACATTTACATTTAATTAGAAAATTTAGTTCATCAACAAACAAGTGAAAAATTTAAGCTTTTAATTGATTAATTTAAACAAACATTGAAAAAAAGATTTTTTGATTGGTCATAAAGATAAGACCATGTGTGAAAAAAACAAATTATGGCACAAAAATTTTAGAACTAAACAGTGTGCTTATAGCTTCAGGCGTGTAGACACCTACGTAGTTCATTTCCAGTATTAAATTTCAGATTTTAAAATGGCTATGGGTAAAATTTTAAAATAGTTCGAAAATGGCAGGATTGTTGAACTTCAAAGACGTGGTCTTTCGTAATAAGCCATTGCAAATGAAATTGGCCGTAGCAGAACTGTCATTGCTAACTTCATTAAAAATCCAGATGCGTAATGCTTCTAAAAATCAAGCGGTCTTCCCAATAAAATCTAAAAATGGAGGTTATACTGAGAATTAAATTGTCGTTGTTTCTTATTCGTTCTGTATTTGCCATTTTTATTTACATGGTCTTATCTTTATGACCAACCAACAAAAATCCTTTTTTCAATGTTTATTTAAATGAATCAATTAAAAGCTTAAAATTTTCACTTGTTTATTGATAAACTATATTTTCTAATTAAATGTAAATGTTTCGCAAATATATTTAGATTAAAGTAACAGTATTTTATATTTTTTTTTAACCCTTTTGTATCTGGTCTTAAGATTTTGACCAGGGGTGTATATTAAAGTCCTGTGTTGAGCGCTGCTCGAGTTTCCTGCATCTGCCAATGAAAAATTAATGAAAAAGAATGCATGACTAAAGTTTTTTCATAAATATATCCACGTTACCCTTACAAATTACCCTTATAAATTAAACTATCTAAAATCTAGCTGCCTATATAAGTTTAAATAATTTAAGCATTTGTAGTGAAGAGGTGATACACTGTTATAATGGATTAGATTTTAGCGGGAGGAGTAAACGATGTTTTGCTGAGGAGGAGCAGGAGGAGGAAGTCGTTCAAAATAAAATGAATTCAACATCTCAAAAGAAATTAATTCAACCCATGTAAGAATTTTTATACATATATTTTTATAAAGAGCAACTTAGCAAGAAAAAGAAAATACAGATAACCAAAGAAAAAAAAAACAAGAAAAAAAACATTTAACTGTAATGCGTCGTTTTGCGCCACATGGTTGTGTGAAATTAAGAAGTCGGTAGGTCCGGGCAAAGAAATCTCCCTCAGCGGAGCCAAATTCTTTGTTGTCGCTACTACATCTCAGAGCAGAAACAGAGTGAAAGCGTTTATGTTCGCTTTCTTGAGTAAATGGGTGGCGGAACAGGGCTTAGGAGAAATAACAGAACGACAACATTTATTAAGAACTACAAGAGACAGGAAATTATGGAGAGTCATGATCGCCTACCCCCTAAGGGGACACAGCACATAAAGAAAAAGAATTGGGCTGAATAGAACGCCACCTAACGGGCGCCGTGGCAGACAAGGTGAGGTAATCATTAATTTCCCTAAGGATTACAGCTTGAGGGACCAGCTTGAGTCTGAGAGTGACGGGCGTCTTTTTCTGCTCTTAAATATTTGTAGCGTTCGGGGAAAATGGCTTATTAAACACTAAATTTTACTTCTTTTATTTTAAATTATTTGAGCAAGTTTCGACATTAAATCTGTATGTTGTGCATTAAAAATTAAAAATGTAAATTTATCGTTTGTCAGAAATGAAAACAAGCGTGACTGACAGAATTAGAGATGGACAGAATGCATTGTTCATGATTTTTACTATAAAAATGCATTACAAATAATTTTACTATAGAAAAGCCTTATAAATGCTTTTAGGAGAAAAAAACTGCGCTGAAAATCATGAAGAAAGTAATTTCCAGTGAACAGGGATGAATTATTAGCAGTTTTTATTATGACGCCAATTGAGAGTTATTTGCTTGTCATTTTCGGATACATTTTCATCTACAGACGCCAACAACGATACTTTGAGTGTGAAAACAATGTTAGTTAAGACTTCAGTCGAAACTATAAATCAACTCGTAAAATTGTTTATTATCTAAATTGGCTATTCAAAAGTTGGCGTTTACAGTCAGATTTCGTTATTGACTTCTGGCAGTCAACGTGTTGGTTAATATTACAAGCGTTACCAACATAATATGGCTCTGTACCTAAAAGTAAATGCATTTCATTACTAATATAGTTTTTACTACAGGGGTGTATGTTCTAGATCATTTTTACACTAGACTCCATTGAAAAATCAAGAAGAAATTTATTGCCAGCTGTCAAACGTCACTGACGAAATCGAACCGTTGCGGAAACCAAAATTATAGGTGTCGTCGTGATATGAATGAATGCATCAAATTCTCGATACCCGCATAAATAAGTCATCATCCTCATTAGGCATTAAATTATGAACATTAATTGATAATGCCCCACTTACCTGTAATCCCAAAACGGGTAAATATTCTGTTTTTGGTCCCTGTTCTTACCATATGTCCTCATAACATACATTTCCATTGCTTTATCGTGATGGCTTTTTAGTGCGCTAAATAGTTTGTTTTTTAGTTTTTTTTTTTTTTTTTGTTGTTGTTTTTTTTTTACTTTTTTTATATATTTTTTCTTTCATCTGACGATGGTGTTGTGAACGCCGAGAATTAAAACCAATGGATAGCTTCGTAGCATAAAACAACTTTGGTTCAATAAAGAAAGGATTTCTTCATTGAACGTCGCCGATTCTTAATTTGCTACGAAGACTAAAAGTTTATCTTTGTACCTTGTTTTAATTAGTCCCCTCTAGAAACTAATCAGTTTTCACTCGAGCATTCTGTTTAGTTTTCTTGTCGGTCGAACGAACGAATCGGTAAATGAGAAGAACAAAAGCTGTTAAAAGATTATTGTGTGTACTACATCAGTCATTGTTGTTTCATTATTTTCAGTTATATTTACTTCATTGGGGCAACAGCGAAATGGGGATTTGTTGACGTCGATGTCTATATACAACTTAAAAATTCAATATCTTCGATCTTCTCAAAGGAAAATATCTTCTCTTTTTAGTTAAACACGCGTTTTCATTTTTGCCTGTTACAATAAAAAAAAAAAGCAAAAAACTTGTAAACAAGTTGTTGCTATGGTTGTTGCAGTGAACCCTAATTAAGCCAATTTTGTGAATCTGGTAAAATTTCTCGATTCTGAAACAGTTATTTTCCTAGAAAAAAAACTTTGGTTATCGAATGCTTTCAAAGGCTGGCAGGGGAATGTATATACATACAGGCAACATTTTGCCACGTGGTTGATGTGTAGTCAGTAAGTACAGACGAATTTAGTAGTAGTTGTGTCTGTTGAATACAGTGGCGCCCATTTCTGTTGTTATGTTACCATGATCACCAAGCAGACAAACGACTAACCCTGACCTTTATTGACACTAACGCGTTCGTTATTGTTTATTTTCAGTCGCGCATCAGTTTGGGTTTATTTCAGTCATTAAGAACTAGTAGAAGTAGTAGTTTTTAATGAACTACTACTAAACTAGTAGTAGTACTCGAATTTACGGATGTTCTTAACTTATAAAAAAATTTCTAGTTCATTTCAACTTTTAAAGTGTCACAAAAACTCGAATTTTATTTGAGAGTAACCAATATTTTCAACGAATTCTATTGTAAGCAAATATAACATTTTTTAACATCGAATAGATACATACACTACTACACTACAGGCAAAAAGTTTGGTGTAACATTGCATTTGTTTAAAAAAAAACATCTTAAATAAAATGAGATATTTTTGTATTTTTTTTAAACAATAAATTTTTAGCAAGTACAGTCAGTGTATTTGCTTTTATTTTTCAGTCTTTCTCCAAAGCTCTTATCAAAAAGTTCAAATTTGGATTCGTCTGTCCATAATAATAATACATTATATTTTTATTATAATTTAGCAGCTAAATTATGAATACATTGTATGAGAAACATTATAGTTGATTTTTTGAGATTACCATAATATTCAACTAAGTTAAATGTTAATACAGGTTCTAATATTAACTCAGCACCGACTAATAATGTTAGAAAGAAAAGTCAAAATTATTATATGTATTTGAGTTGACTTTTAACATTTTTTCTTTTTCCAGAAATGAGTTTGGTTCACTTCACTTTGGTTTTGTTTCTTTTTTGTTTGTTTCTCCTGTAAGAAACACTCCAGCTCATCTACAGATGGCAGCCAGAATAGCGTTTCCTTCAGGAACCTTTTTATGCTATTACTCATTACACCACCCGCACATCCAAGCTTACAGCACCTGGTATTCCCAAAAGGTAACTCTCCTAGGTCCTAACCAGGCTCGACTTTGCTTAACTTCGATGATCGTACCACTAACGTGATGTAGCTGTAAGCATAGATAGATAGATAGATAGATAGATAGATAGATAGATAGATAGATAGATATGAACAGGCTGAGATAGATAGATAGATAGATAGATAGATAGATAGATAGATAGATAGATAGATATGAACAGGCTGAGATAGATAGATAGATAGATAGATAGATAGATAGATAGATAGATAGATAGATAGATAATGATGTATGTGATGTCTCGAAAAGATGCCGTTCGCCGTAACGAGGAACGAACAAATTAAGTTATTGAAGCAAGCAATTATATTATCTTCACTAAACTGCAATCAAAATAATGAGATGTGATGAGACGACGACTGATTCGTTTAGTTAGCCCACCTACAACTCATACCGCGTTGCCCACTCTAGCGGAAGGTTGAGTTTAAAGTGGACTGGTCACCAACGCGTACGAAGATTGGAACAAAAATTGCTGAAGCCGCCACAACACTTCCCACTTTAGAGGAAACCTCGGGCGCCAAATAATGACGCCCCTCGGAGAGAAATAATGCATGGAGAGCAGTCCTTTGGAGCTGGAGTACATAATACTAAATATTCATACCCACTCCCCAAGTACGCTGTATTTTATCAGCAAGTGCGAGAGGCATGTTATCTTTCACAGAATGGTATTTGGCATGTGTATACAAACGTATGGTAATGGTAATATTAGACATTTCTTTACAAGGAAACATTCGGCATTAATTGACCGAGCAACCAATACTGCTTTCGGTTGAAATTTTTAAAAATTTTTCTCTTAAAACAATTTTTCAGGAAAATAGGTTTCTCAAGTTCAATAGCTGTTATCGCTCTTTCCAGTATTGATGGGGGGGTTTCCTTCCTTACTTGAGAAAACGTAATTTAAATGATGAATGCACATTCTAATATCTCCATGGAATTTATTATCCATTTTCTGTTAATGCAATGTTAGAAGGCGACGTATTTGCAACGTTAGATAGTTGCGGTCATGTTGTGGATGATGATGTTTCTACTCAATCTCATTCCATGAAGGCATTCAGCCGAAAAGAGCCACATGGCCCCTCCTGTCTCTCGCTGTTTTGGTAGAACGTCGGAAAATCCTCCGGCGCCAGATTAGCCTGTTGGAGGTCCTTACATGAGACGTCCTTCCAGTGGCTGTGCCAGCTACCGCGAGATCGTCACCTGTTTACAGATGCCGGATCGAACTGGCAGATTACATTCTGATGGGGTGATCACCAGGTCGCCGCAGGAGGTGAGCCAGCCAACAAAAATCCTTAATCCGACAACGTGTCTCAATTTGGATGAAGTACAACCTGTGGGGCCATCTCAGAATAGAATGAACTCATGTCACTTAAGGATAATTTTATCTCCTTTAATACTCATACTAGATAATAAAATATTTTGATAGCTTGAATTGTAATATGTAGTAAATAATATAGAGCAATATTACAACTATGCGGTTCATAGCTACAAGTGGAGCTTGTAGTTCGGCTCATACACCAGTAGGAGTTTCTTTTTTTGTTTTGTTTCTTTTTTTACAGTAAGGTTCACTCTGTTCAGACCCGAGGGCCATTCGAGGTAGAGGGTTATATAAAGCAGCAGTTTATGCGGATTGGAGAGGAAAATAACGGTTAACCCTAGTCAGGTTAAGATTGTAGTGATCGGGAAACACCCTCTTGGGAGACGGTTCCACAAAGCAGTGGTTCGCGCGAAGAAGCTGCTCGAGTGGAACTTCTCATCAATGGAATATGAAGGAAATGTGGGTGGTTTGCTAAAATGTAAGTGGCATGGGGAGAGGGGTCCTAGCCGTGAATGTGGAACTAGCAGAACCAAGGAGCAAGACCTCCGAGTCTAGCTGTCGTGATACAGTCTTTGACTGTAAGCGACGACTGTCAAACTCTCTGCATTAGCAGAGAGGAACCCGGACGAAGCTTTGCCGAAGGGCAAGGTTTCGTTCGGGGAGGTAGACAGGGCCTGAATCCGTCAATGCGGTTCTAAAAAGGCTATATTTTTGGCCGAGCCTACGGGCTCGGGGATACCCACACTAAACCGGCCTTGTGCCATATTCAATCCTTGTGGGTGGGTTGATAAATAGCGAGCAGAACCAAGGTATGGGTTTGTACGTGCGCTTTCCTTAGAAGTAGCGATAGAAGTGTGTAGCGGGTACTCCGTGCGGCCCCGTATCACAGAAAGGGGTGAACGAGGTCACAAGAGGCCCGCTGACATTTTTGAAGACGTTAAATCTGACGGTGAAACAATATAGACGACAGAACGAGGATATGTATGATAAACGCTATTTTATTCAGGGAAAGAAAAAGGAAATAAAGATGGTCGGAGCGGTGGAGGTGCAGAAGTTTTAGTGCAGGCATTGATGGTCGAGGTTGGTGTTGGTAGTTGCTAGGATCATCGTTGTTGGGGGTTGAAGCTGATGTGGGTTGTTGCCAGGATGATCGCTTGGTGGTTGTTGAAGTTGATGTTGGTCGATGCCAGGATGGTCGTTGTTGGTTGTTGAAGCTGAGTCGTTGCCGGGGTGCCAACTTGTTGCTGTAGTTCGTGTTGCCAACTTGTTGTTTGTCATTGCCGGGATGCCAACTTGACGTGTTTGTCATTGCCGGGGTGCCAACTTGTTGCTGTAGTTCGTGTTGCCAACTTGTCCAGCCAAGTCAGATCACGTCGGGGTCACCGTCAGATTTAACGTCTTCAAAAATGTCAGCGGGCCTCTTGTGACCTCGTTCACCCCTTTCTGTGATACGGGGCCGCATGGAGTGCCCGCTACAAGTGTGAAAGGGTTTCCACATCCCGCTTGTGAGAGAGAGGTTGGAAAGTTGAAAATAATTTATCACCCACAAGGACCCGAAGACGCTTTTGGACTCTATCGTGACTGCAAAGTGAACACAAGGCAGCTTCATCCCAATACTCCATTTTAAGCCTGATCTGGCTCTTGTAAAAGTAAAAGCACAGTCACGTATTTACTGGGGCAGTACAGGGAACCGACTTTTTTTCTTGTATCATTAGCGATGCATAAGATGTTTCACTTGAGGCTTGATGTGAGTTTAATGCCCAACAGTCTCTCAAGGCACGGAGCCTTCCGAGGGGGGAGAGCATCCATTCATCGTGACTGATGGTAATTCGGGGTCCGATCGGCGATGATGGAATGTAACTTGTTTGGTTTTAACAGAGCGGCACTGAGATCGGAAGACGTATTGTTATTGTTATGACCAAAGATGTCATCCAAAAGCTAAGCAGAGTATTAAGAGACAGAAAAATTTCGTTAGAAACAAAGAAAAGTATATTGAACTACTACGGAGGTATCTATCTTCCTGCGTGGCAGAGAATGATGGAAATCTCCTCAAAGATGAAGAAGAGACTTGAAGCAACAGAAATGTGGTTCTATAGAAAGATGCTGAGGATACCATGGACCAAACATGTGAGCAACGACGACGTTTTGGAGAAAATGGAAACAAAAAAGAAAATTATACTTAACATCAGGAAGAGGCAGTTAGAATTTCTGAGGCACGTAATGAGGAAGAAGGGCTTGGAAAATTTGATACTCACAGGACAGATAAAGGGGCAGAGGAAAATAGCGTGTAACATACTTGATGAGCTTGAGTAAATGGATGGTAAAACAGGATTTTGGAGAAATAACAAAAAGACAAAACTTATTAAGTACTGCAAGAGACAAAATCATGTGGATGATCGCCTATGTCATGAAGAGACATATCACACAAAAGAAAAAAAGAATCTGAATTTCCACTTTTTTTGGCTAGCTTCAGCTCTTTGACATTAACAAAAACGAACAATGGATTTTTTTTTTCTTTTTCACTCTTGCCTCGGAAATTGCAAGGTATTTGGCGTCTGATTCGGTCCTGACATCAAGTTGGAGAACATTAATTGGACGGACTGATAAAGTTCCAGTCCGTTTTAGTCTGTGATTTCGAAGGAATCTTCCCTTAAATGGGGTAGGTAGAGGTGTGCGTTTTTGAATATCTATCCCGTGAATCTTTACAGACTTTCAGTACTTCCATGCCTCTGCATATGCAACGCCGAGCTCGAGAAGATCGGGAAAAAAAATCCAGTTGTCTGAGACAAAAATTAACAGTGATAAATCTGTTGCTTTGCGTTGGACTCATACAACTGTCTCATAGTTGAATTAGAGAGACCCTTATTTCGTTTCCTTTAGGGTCAGAGGGCTGCTAGGGTATGTCGTAATTTCCGCTGTCTCCATCATTCCGAGAGTGGTCTGAGTATTGAGATCCGTCGGCATAGCTTACAATTCTCATGCCGTATGTGTGTACAAGATGATACTGACAGCAGATTATTGGAAGGAAGATGGCAAGAAAATATTTTCAGCTTTGAAAAACATGTGCTCAGATGAAGGAGCGGCCCACCGTTTGCTCTGAAACGATTGTCGACATGTACTTAGATTCTTCTCTCGGGTGAAGACCAGTCTAGCTGACTCAAAGGCATTATATTGTATAATACAATGCGGGGTAAACTGGTCGATGTGCTCGGCGTGGCCTTGGGTGCCTAGGTTGAAATGTTATGCTAATGACAAAGCATCTCTCACCTCGTTGTTGTTACGAGATGCGATCTGAATCGGGAAAAAAGTATTTTGTGCTTGGTTAGGAAGGGTCACGTGGTATGTTTACTGCGACGTCCACAGTGGGCGCCACAAAGTCTGCTTTTAGGTGTCTATTTTTAGTGTTGATTAAATTGAGAATGTGAAAATGTATTCATTTATCTTTGTGTATTTTCGAAGTCTTCGATATGGTATAATTTAATAGAATTTCTCTATTTCAGATCTTTTAAAACTTGTGTTCATATCTGAACATTGCCAGTGTGAGTAGATGGTAGTTTAGTGTTCTGCTTCAATTTAATAATATTTTATTTGTGATCTAATTCCATTGGTTAAAAAAGATTCCAATCCATTTCCTACGTAACAGTGCTGCGATCGACTAAATCTGTAAAAAAAAAGTGGACCATAGAACCTTGATATTTCTCTAACTCTTGATTGGTCAATTAATGCTAATATTATGCTTTCGTCTATGTCCGTGCGGTTAAAATTAATTTACCGCCCAAAATCTGTCTATGTGTTTCGAGCCTATCACGTGACATACAACATTATAAATATTAGCGACATCCTCAACTCTTTCTCTTTTGCCTTCTCTCACATACAAGATGTAGCTGTGGAGATATTGCGTTTGTTCCTTTAAGGGAAAATGCTATTA